GCGACGTTGCGCCTGAGCTTCTCCTCACCGCTTGGCGACCTCCCTTCCAACCACGCACGGAGGGCAGGCGCCAATGCGAGCACGCGCTCCGCCAGCTCGGGGTGGCCGAAGATCTCCGCGAGCTCCCGCTGGACCTCCTTCAGCGCCGCGAGCTGGCCCGCATAGTTCTTGACGGCGGCGTCGGCGGATGCCATCGCCGCACGCCGCGCGGCTCCACGCTCCGCGCGCGAACGCCGCTCTCCAGATGAAAGATCGCCATACAGCGGCGACCCTGCCCGTGCCATTCTCAAGCCTGTTCAAGCCTTGCAGCGCCACACTCCGGACCGGCCATGCGCGGGAGAAATGGCGACCAAGGGGTTTGAGGCTGGCTTGAGCCAAAATGGCTACGGAGGGAGGAGGAGGAGGAGGCGGAGGAGGAGGAGGAGGAGGAGGAGGAGGAGGAGGAGGAGGAGGAGGAGGCGGAGGGGAGGAGAAGAAGGAGGAGGAGGAGGAGGAGGAGGAAGAGGAGGAGGAGGAGGAGGAGGAGGAGGAGGAGGAGGAGGAGGCGGAGGAGGAGGAGAGGGAGGAGGAGGAGGAGGAGGAGGAGGAGGAGGAGGAGGAGGAGGAGGAGGAGGGGGAGGGGAGGGGGAGGGGGAGGGGGAGGGGGAGGGGGAGGGGAGGGGAAGGGGAGGGGGAGGGGGAGGGGGAGGGGGGGAGGGAGAGGAGGGAGGAGAGAGGGGGAGGGAGGGAGGGAGGAGGGGGGAGGGGAGGAGGGAAGAGGAGGAGGAGGAGGAGGAGGAGGAGGAGGAAGGAGGAGGAGGAGGAGGAGGAGGAGGAGGAGGAGGAGGAGGACGGGTCGCCGAAGCCCTTCGGAGAGACCTTCCACCTGGGGCAACGCTTCCAGCGTCGAGGGCCAGAGGATGGCGAGGCCCGGAGGCCGCCGCGGCCCAGGCCGCGGCCGTGGCGGGCGGCGAGGCCCTCGTGGCGTTTTCTGTTGGCCTCGGGGGGCGCTCGAGGCGCGGCGCCTCGCCGGGCGCGTGCCTCGCACACCGACACATGCACAGCAGTCCCCGGACTCCCCCCCTCTCCTCCAACATTCTTGGGGACGTCTGTCATCCTTCCCCCCCACACTTCCCAGATGTTTTCCCGCAGATCGCATGGGGAATCGACGACTCCTTGTGCCTGTGCGTGTGTTCTTTTTGTTGTCCCAACTGATTCGGGGGTGCCCGCACCGTGCCGAGAGCCATGACCCCAAGAAAGCCAGCAGAGGGGGGCGGGGCGTCCCCGTGAATTACCTCCGCAGCTTCTGGCTGGCCTTCCCCGTCATGTCGGTGTCAGTCTTGTTTCTTGTGCTCCGACTCAGGCGATCGCAAACATGGATGTTAAGGGGTGGATTAGCGACGGGTCCCGTTCCCATGGGAAATCGCGGATTTCCGCCGCCGAGCTAGGCGGCACCGGCCGCATTTTGGGGAGGGCACCTCCCCCGATCCATGGATTTGGCGACCGCGCGCCTAATCCATGGATCGCTAATCCATGTTTGCGCGCCCCCGACCGACGTGGGCTCGACGCAGATTCGACGCGAGTTCGGCGCTGATTCGGCACGGATTCGACGCGGATTCATCGGCCACGCGCAGAGGGGGGGTATGGGGAGGGGGGAGGTCTCCTAGAAGGTGTAGTCCCGACGCCTTGTAAGCCCCCTAACCCCTTTATGCCCGCCACCAAATTCAACACGTTCGACGTGCATTCGATATGGATGCGACACGGATGGTTGGCGCGATGTGACAGACGAGGTCCCCCAAAGATGCAACATAATTGCCGTCCCGGGGCAACGCTCCTAGAATCCAAGATCGGTGGAGGAACAGGTACCGATACCGTTGCCTTTGCCTCGTTTCCGCCGTTTTGGGCCTCCTGGGAGGCCCTCGTCGCCACGGCGGGATCTTTTTGGAAACCCTGACCAGACCGGGGCCTGGGATAGGTCCGGGGAGTAGCGGTATCGGTATCTCTTGGTTCCTGAGCGACGATTCATCTCCGACAGGGGCCCGATAGCCCGCCCTTGTCGGCGATGCGTCGCTGATTCCAGCTCGATGTTTCGCCCCTTGAGCCCGTCCCCCCGAACGGTCCCCCTCACCAATGGATCTTCGGGTCGGACGAAAGGGCGGGATTGGGAAAGGGGGGCACGTAGTTACGACATCAATCTGCTGCACGCAGCTGGTTTCGGCCCTACTTCTGGAAGCTTCCCTTGATGCATGGGCGCCTCTGGCGCCAGAAGGCGCTGGGAAAACCAACGAATTGTATGCGCTGATTCGTTCATCCCCCCTCCTATCCCCCCTTGTTCGTTCGACCCCATACCCCTGGCCGTTTTCGAGCACCTGGGAAAGAGTCGGGATGTTTCTGGGGATTGCGGCGTGGAAGCGCAACTCATAATTTTATCGGAGTTCCCCACAAGTGGATGTTAAGGGCTTCGTGAGCTCAGCGGGGCATTTCCTAACAATAGCAGCATGAGCGGGACGATCATGACGTTGATGTGCGCGCAGGGAAGGGCACAGGAAGGCAGTGGGAGGAGACAGCAAGGAGGAGCACGACAGATGTTGAGGACACTCCCACCCACTCCCCCACGCTGTCGCGGTCCAGCGGGGGCTCCCCGGGACTCTGACGGTATTGGGACGTGTGGCTGGAGCGGCGGGGGGCACAGCTTATGCGCGGTCCGACAGAGCTTAGCTTCCATGGAAAGGTGAAATGCGGTTTCCGTGGGACTGAAACGCTGGGGAGGGCACGAAACCTGAGAAAGGACACGGTATTTGCATAGCCCGCTCGGTCCGGCACAGCCTCTCTGGAGAGGGGAGCGTGTTACTGGTGGGGCACACGGCTGCGGCGGGCACGAAGATTGGTAAAACAGTCTCAGCATAGCCCGCGCCGTTCAGCGCGGCCTCCCTTGAGGGGGGAAGTTGGGGTTGGTAAGCCCGAATGGGGTGGGCAGGACACGAACCTGGATAAATCACACGGTTTGCGCATGACCCAGTTGGGCCGACACGGCTTACTTGGGAGGGAAAGCAGCCTTCTTGGATCAGGCGATCGCAAACATGGATCAAGGGGGCGTGGATTAGCGACGGGTCCCGTTCCCATGGGAAATCGCGGATTTCCGCCGCCGAGCTAGGCGGCACCGGCTGCATTTTGGGGAGGGCACCTCCCCCGATCCATGGATTTGGCGACCGCGCGCCTAATCCATGGATCGCTATTCCATGCTTGCGCGCCTCCAAGGTACGAACCCTGCATGGTAAGTAAACTGATTGCGCATAGCCCGCTCGGTCCGACACGGTCTCCCTGGAGGAGGAAGCATCCCCCCAGGAAGGAATGTGCAATGCTGGAGGGGTGGGGAGGGCACGAACCACACCTGAGGACCAGCCTGGCATTCGAAGGGTGATGACGAAGGAGGGAGGGGACGCCGAGAGAAGTGGGCATCACATGCAGATAAGGGGGAGAAGGAGTTGGCGGAGGAGGAGGAGGAGGAGGAGGAGGAGGAGGAGGAGGAGTTGGCGGAGGAGGAGGAGGAGGAGGAGGAGGAGGAGGGAGGCTGGAAGGATTGACGGAGGGGTTGTTCCGGGAAATCTGTCGGACGTCTGGGCCCCCCTGCTCCCGCCAGAGTCGTCTGGCGTCCTGTGAAAATCACGGCGGGAGATTTCCGGCATCCTCTGGCCCCCGGGGGCTTCTTTTCCTTCCCTGGGGCCGTGACAAGGTGCATCGGCCGGGCGGGGCCAGGACGAGGACGAATTCGTTCCAGGGCATTCCGGAACGCTCTCGGAGCGCTCTGGAGCGCTCTGGGAGGGCCGCTGCGCCCGAGACATCCTCCAAGGCCGCCAGACCTCGGAGATTCCCGAGTTATCCTCGCCCGATTGTCTCTTCGTCCTGGCTCCGTCTGAACCGGGATGGAGAGACGGTCCCCTGCAAGGGGATGCCGCACAGCCTCCTCCTCTTCCCTCCCCAGACCAGACGAGGATCGAGGAGCGATACTTACTTGAGTATCGAGGCTTTTGGGGCAGTTTGGGCATCATTCACCATGTCTTGGAGGCCTCCCGTCGTCGCGGTTGGATTCCTGCCGATGTTCTTGCCACGCACCCAGTGAAGTCCTGAGGGCGACTTCGAGGCCGCAGCGCATACAGATGCGCCGCAGGTGTTCCGTCACTGCTGGCATCCTGGGGTGCCATTCCCGGGCCGCGTGTCAGCTCAACAAAAGAAGCCCCAGATTCTGGAAGCTCGACACGGGTAAATACGGCAAGGCTGCGACGACCAGCAGCAGTTCTTGTTGTTGCTTGAACATTATGCGTTGTCGTTGTTGCCGCGGACTTGATCCGTTTGAGACAGCGGGCCGCTTGTTCACCAGCGGCCGCTGGCGGTGTTGGCCAACACTTTGCTGCTGTTTCCGTACACATCTCGGTCATCCTGAATTCCAATGGACGAGCAGTTTTCATCGGGAAGGGGGTCGGCCGATCAATCTAGCGGTCACGGACTCGACAATCTCGAGTTGTCGGAGGTCTGGGTCCCTTCGGCTCCGTGTTCTTCTTCTCTTCCTCGTCCACTGCCTCCTCTTCCCAGGGGGAGGGAAAGGTGTAGGAGGAGGATGGGGAGGAGGAGGGGGAGGAGGAGTGGGCTGACGCGGACGAAGAGGCGGATGACGCGGCGGCAGAGGTGGTGGCGGAGGTGGAGGGGGTGGGTTGGAAGAGGGGAAGGAGGGAGCCAGGGTTGAAGAGGAGGAGGAGAAGGCGGAGGAGGAGGAGGAGGACGAGGAGGAGCAGGTGAACGGTGGAGATGGCGACCGTCTTGGTCGTGTTCCAACATATTGTTCTTTCACGACCGTCACACCACTCGGCATACCGAAGGCCTCGGATGGCCTCGTGCAGCCCTCGAAGGGCCGCGGGTGGGCAGCCTCGGACAGCACCGAACGGCTCCGGACACGCCGCGGATGGCCTCGGAGAAGGCAGACCCCGATCTGCTCGGCCCACCGTGGTGCCCATGCTCTTGCAGCGATGGCCATGGGGCCCGATCCTCGCGTCGCCGAGGCCGAGGGCCCGCCGAGGGCGCCGAGGCTGAGAGCCCGCAGAGAGCTCCCCGCGAGCGGCGACCGTCTCCGCATCCACGCCCTCGCTCGGCGGCGAGCGAGGGGGGGGGGAGTGGCAAGGATCG